AGAACTGAATCCCAGTTCTATTCAGAGTGCAGATTACTACTAGAGAGGCAAAGGAAAAAAAAAAAAGGTAAACCATTTAGCACAATCAGTCTACTCAGGTAAGAAATCCCAGCTTGGCTACCTATCATCTATGTGCTCTTAAACGATCATGTAACAATTGTGTACCTTTTTTAAGGAGGGGTTTACTCTGGATCACTATTTGAGGTGATACAGTCCTTTAAAGCAGGGAAGACATGGTAAGAACATGTGGCTAGGATGCTTCACCTCTTCATATTTCAGTGGAACAGGAGTAGAGCCTTATTTTTCCTTGAGTACTGAGATTATAGGCGAGCACCACTACATTCACACTGTGCCATCACTATACAGGCTAACAGTACTCACTACACATGACTACTTTATGGATCAAAATGAATTTATATATTGCTATTGCTATCCAAAACATATAAACTTACTCAAATTAAAAATAAGAAACTACCCAGGGTTTTGCAAAATGAGCATTAGAAGAGACACATCACAAAAAGAAGAGATACATATGACAAAAAGCTCACACACAAAAACCACTGATAATACCAATTGCTGAGGATACATAGCAATTGTAATTTGTTTGTGTATGCATGTCTACACTGTATTTGCATAAGTGTATGGAGACTAGAGGTCAATGTTAAGTGAACTCCTTAATCATTTCTTCACTTTTATTTATTTTTATTTTTAATGTATGAGTGTTTTGCCTGCAAGCACATAAGTGCATTCATGCATATAATGCCTGTGGAAGCCAGAAAACAGCAAGAGTTCCCTGGGAACTGGAGTTACAGACAATTGTTAGCTGTCATATGTGTGCTGGGCACCGAACCTGGGTCCACTGCAAGAACAGTCAGTGCTCTTAACCGCTGAACCATCTCTAAAGCCCCTCCACTTTTTTTTTTTTTTTTTTTTTTTTTTTGAGACAAAGTCTCTCATTGAACCTGGAGCTTACCCATTTACCTAGACTGACTGGCCAGAAGGTCCAGTGATCCCTTTGTCTCTGTCTCCCCAGTGTGGTGGCTCAGTCCCAGTGCTGGGGATCAAATGCAAGTCCTCATCCTTACACAGCAAGCACTTTACCAAATGAGCAGCTCCCCAACCCACAACTATTACTCTTACACACTGTTGGTGGGTATGCAAAAATATATAGCTACTTTGGAAGACATTAGCAGTTTCTTATGAAAATATACACATATCATATGATCCAGTAATCCCACTACTAGAGACACAGCTTCTCAGTCTTTGAATTGGGGTCTTACTCTAGGTGAGCTGACTTGGAATTCACTGTGTAGTCCAGCACAGTCTCAAACTCAGTGCAATCCTTCTGCTTCAGCCTCCTTTTTTTTCCTTTGGTCTTTTGGAGATAGCGTCTTCCTGAAGCCCCGGTTGGTTTGGAACTTGCTATGTAGACCAGGCTGACTCAATCTTACAGAAATCTGCTTGCCTCTGCCTCCAGGGTGCTGGGATTGACGGCATATGCCACTGTGCCTGGCTCTGTCTCAGCCTCTTTTTGAGAGAAGGTTGGCCAGAAACTCACTATGTAGAACTTGATATCATCCTACCACTGCTTCTGATCATTGAGGTCATTGGCCATTTGTATACATTTTGAGTATATTTTTTTGTCTCTAAATGAGACCCTACCTCAACTTAACAATAATTTCAATTAAAAGGACTATGGGTTATAGCTCAATAATAGAGTACATCCTGAACATACCTCAATGAGGTCCTGGTTCAATCCCTAGCACCATGTTCATGTTAAAAAATACACACACACACACACACACACACACGAAGTACATTGTATTATACCACAGAATCACCTAGGCATGGGTTTGTTTGTTAATATTTTGAAACAAGGTTTAGCTATGTCCCTCAGGATGACCTGGAGCTTGCTCTGTGGCCTAGGCTACCCTCATACTTGTGATTTTTCTGTGTTGACCTCCCAAGTGCTGAAGATCCAGTCATGTACCACCATGCCTAGCCTAGAACAGTTTCTTGTTTTGGGATTTTTGGGATGTGTGTGTGTGTGTGTGTGTGTGTGTGAATTGTGTGTATTTTATGTATGTGTTTTTTACCTGCATGTCTGCAAGTATACCACATGTCTGCAGTGTAAAGAGGCCAGAAGAGGGTGTCTGATTCCCCTAGAACTAGAGTTACAGACAGTTTGAGCTGTCATATGGGTGCTAGGAACTGAACTCCAGTCTTCTACAAGAGCAACCAGTGCTGTACTCTTAACCACTAGGCCATCTATCCAGCCCCTGGAGAGGAAGACGAAGACACAGGCCCACTCCTGGAAATAGATTTAATGGTATAGGTATAACCCAGGCTTATGAAAACCCACTGGTCTTCACAAGCAGCTATTCAAAAAGATGCCTGTTAATTATGCAATACTCTCTGAAGGTTGTAGAGAAGATAGCTTTTATCTTTTCTACTGACAATAAACTAAGTTATTCCTTCGCATTCCTCACATCTGGAGGCTAAGGGGGGTGGATCATATAGAAAGACTTTGTTAAAAAATAAAACAAAAGCCAGGCATGGTGGCGCATGCCTTTAATTGCAGCACCCGGGAGGCAGAGGCAGGCAGATCACTGTGAGTTCAAGGCCAGCCTGAACTGTAGCTGGGGCTACAGGGAGACCCTGTTTCAAAAGACCAAAAAAAAAAAATTTTTTTAAAATAAATAGAACAAAGGACCCAAGCTGTCCCTTCCCCTACTACCAACTATAGTCTTGCTAAAGTACTAACAATAATAATGATCATGGTTCATGATTGGAAACAGAAAGGAGGGAGGCAGGGAAAGAGGGATGATACAACTCTGATTTCCAAGAAGCAAAATAAAAAGCTCATCTAACCAGTGCTCATCTCTTGTAGAAGACTAGAGTTTGGTTCCCAGCACCCATATGACAGCTCAAATTGTCTGTAACTTCAGCTCTAGGGGTATCGGGCACCGTCCTCTGGCCTCTGTACACTGGAGGCATGTAGTACACTTGCAGGCATGCAGGCAAAACACTATTGCAGATACGCAGGCAAAACAGTATTGGAGGTTGAGGCAAGAGAATACAAGTTAGAGACTAGCTAACCAAAAACCCTAGGTAATGACTAATGTTGATGGTCAGCTTGATTAGATTAAGAAATACCTCATGGGTTAGTGAAATGAACTTCCTGGTCTTTCTGTGACGACTTTCCAGAAACAATTAGATCATGAGGGTTCTGATGTAATCAATGGATTAATCCCTTGCTATATTTATAATATGAGGGCTTTACAGGGAGATGGAAAAAGGTAGGAGGTGGGACTAGTTGCAGGAAGTGTCTGGAGTTGTGTCCCTGAGGCTATATACAAGCTTGGTCTCTTCTGGTGTTCCTTTTCTTTCCTGTTTGCCAAGAAGCCAAGAACAGCCTCTACCCCAAACTCCTGCCAGGCACATGGAGTCAAGCAACCCTGGACCAAATCCTCTGAAATCATAAACCAAAATAATCGTTTCCTTCCTTTAATTGTTTATGACAAGTATTTGGATACAGTGACCCAATTACCCCATCTAAAAAAGACACGCTATCTACCATAGTATTCAAGACTTTGAAAATCTGACTTCAATTTTTCTACCTTTTCCAGCCCTAATCCTCCACCCAGCTCCAGAAGTTTCTTTTTTAATTTTTATTTATATATTTTTATTTTATGTGTATGAATGTCTTGCTCACATGTATGTAGGTGAACCATATGCACCAGAAGAGGGCATTAAATCCTCTGGAACTGGAGTTAAAGATAGTTGTTAACCACCATGTGGGTACTGGAAACCGCTACCCAGTTCTCTTAACTGCTGAGCCATCTCTCCAGCCCCAACACTTAGATTCATATAAGAGCCTTCAGGAACACACATTTAAGTTATTTTAATAAAGACTAAAACATCAATTCATTCCAGTAGCATTTTAAAAATAAAAAGACGCCAGGCATGTTGGCACACACCTGTAATCCCAGAACTTAGGTAGGAGGATAGCCAAACAGTTCAAAGCCAGCTTAGTAAACATAGTGAGTTCCAGGCTAGCCAGAATACAACTGAGACCCTGTCTCAATAAACAAGAGAGGGAAGAAGTCTGTAAAAAGGAATTGTTTTCTCAGTGTTACAGACAAAGTTAATCACTAACTGAAGGTACTCTTAATCATTCATCATTTAACAAATGTTCACTGAGCACTTAGTGTCAGGCATTGTTCTAGCCCAGGCTATACAATAGTGACCAAAAGAGACATATTGTTGGTAAACGATCCTTTGGGGCCTATGTGAAAAAGCTCTTGGGGAACAATAATCATTACTGTAAACTTAACCAAGTGGTGACCCCAACTACAGCTGCTGTACAGATGTGGTTTCACTGCTTGAGTAAATTAATACATTGGATGGCACCTGAAAAGGAGCTACTGATGTAGCTCCTTTTTTCTCCATGCCTGTTCAGAAAGAGTACATTTGTGTATATATGATATATTAAGCAAATATCTTTTC